ATGGAGGGAGGGTTGGGAGGAGTTGCGGGTCTGTGGTTGGGATGTGTTGTGTGAGAGAAGAATATTTTGAATAAAGATAAAATAACAAATAGTTATTCGGAATAAAAATTAAAATAAGAAACCAAAAGAGACTGGATGTTGGTAAGTGGTAGGGTGCTTGCCTATCATGCATGAGGCTCAAGGCAGTTCCTAGTACTGGAGGCAAAAGAAAGGAAAGGCCTTTGTGGACTACTGTGAAGAATAATATTATCTACTGGGCTCTCATAGCTCTTCATCCTTCATTTCCCTTTAGCTTTTATTTTAATGATTTACTAATTTTCACCCTAGATGGGGGCTCTTTAGGGTAATTCTTACCTGTTTAAGCTAGTACCTCTTACAATTTTTGTACACATAGAGGATTACAACATGTTCATAAGTACTCTGATTAAATCTTCATTCACTTAGTCATTTACTCATTACATCTATGCACTGGCTTTGGAGATGAACAAAATCAGATATTGAAGTTTTTAAAGAACCTACACTGTGAATCTGTCTAAGGTATTCTGTTAATGGGCCTTTTATTTTACATTAATTTAAAGTTCAAAGAGGCAGTTCTTACAAAAACCTTGTCAAATCAAGTACTCACTTGTACAGTACTCACTTGTACAGCAATTGTTCACCACTCAGAGACAACAGCTTAGTGCATTATTTGTAAGGGTGGTGTTGGTAGCCTATGTAGAGTAAGGATATCCACTGTGTAAGCAGGTGCTCTTTTGAGGTCAGGTAGGAGTAACACTTAACAGCCAAAGCTGGGGCTGGGGTAGCATTGACAGATAGTGACAGGAAGGCATTTTGTGAGAAGAGAAGGTATCCAAGTCTGCATTTAAACATAGCGGCTCAATTCTATGGGACTCATATTTTCCTCTTCTCCTTTTGAATTAGCCAATAGTTAAAAGGTTAATGAGTTTGGTTTTTTACTTCCAAATTAGCTATGAAAGCTGCTTTTGCGATTTTATATTTAATACCATATTTATATAACTCCATATCATCCCCCCCCCCCTTTTTTTTTAAACCAGGAGTTACATTGATGGCACAGAAAATAAGTTACAGTAGTAGAGAATTAAATCTCTATTATTACCAGAGTATTATCTGACATGTTTGGACTGAACCCTGTTTCCTGCCATACCACATTATTTATACATCTCAGAGTTTTTCTGTTTTAATAGTGTTCTTTTAACCTGACAAACAAATAATGACCTCTAGCCACAAAAGTGGGTTTGTTTTATTGTTCATTTGCTGTGTTTTGTTTTCCTGAGCCCATGCTAGCTAAGTAAATGTTCTTTCTTGCTCAGCAAGAATCTAGTGGTACTCTAGACACAACGTCTGCCAGGAAATAACTCACTGGCAGGTGCCTTGCTAATGTAAGCCCCAAAGGCAACAGTTTTGAACTCTGGATAGTAATGTCATAGCTTTATTTAGGCAGATTTTGTTATTTATTTACAAATGTATTAATTTGGCTTATTTTTAGTTATGGTCTATGCCAGAATTTCTCCAAATATATACCATTTCCAAAAGCCTGAACTAAATAAAGTGGAAAGCTTTCTTTTATTGTGTGCTAAGTAGTTCTCACACCTGCTTGTGACTGCAGTGTGTCTAATCTATGGCAAAGCTTAGTCCTGTACACTTGATGAAATGCCAGTCTTGTTTTTAATTTCTTGAAATCCTATAAGACAGTAGACCTTTTGAAGCCTTACTCAGCATGTAAAACGTTAGGCAGATTGAATTATTTGAAACTTTTTCTCCTAAATTATTTTAGAAAGAAAATACCTTAATTTGTGGTTTCATGGGCTTAGGAAATGTATTACTCACCTCAGTGTGGTGGTGAATGCCTGTAGTCTTAGCACTCAGAGCGGCTGAGGCAGGAAGACTGATTGGGCTAGCTGGTAAATTACAGGCTACCCTGGGCAAGTTAATGAGACTGTCTCAAAAAGTTTAAAGTAAATTAAAACAAACCCCAAAGTTGGTAGAGTCATATAGCTCAGCATTAAAGCACTCGCCTGGTGCATGCAAAGGCCCTGGGCTCAGTCCCCAAGTTCTAGAAATAACCAAGCCAGCCAGCAACTTAGGATTCTTTTCTTACTTATGGTAGTCTAACTGTGGAAATGTGTGTGTGGGCTGATCTCCAGAGTGTAAATATCCTAACTGAGAAGGTTCTGGTATCTTAGCCCAGAGGTCTTAAGGGGAAGATGAGACCACTGTGAGGTTAGGAGTTTGGGTGCCTAAGTGATGACTCTCTAAACTGACAGGAACAATCTAAGAGGAAAGTGGAAAGAGAAGCTTGTCTGAAATACTGAAAGATGGTTTATGCAAGAGAGAATAACATGTTTTCAAGATTCTAGCTCAAGTAAACCCCATTGTAGCTTATAACCCTAGGCTGTGGAACTTAGAAAAACCTATGTTTTTAGCGAAAGCTAGAATAAGGGAAGACCCTCTAGCTTCAAAGCCTGTAAAATTCTTCACAGTCTCGGGGATCACTGTGAGTGCCACCTTGTGCCAAAGCATGCTGCCTTAATGGAGTTGCTCCTTCTTGGGTGCCAGTCCCCAACATGCTGGAGGGTTTCGGAAGTTGCACTGTTTTGTTTACCACTGTACTGGCTAATTTTTGTCAACTTGACACAAGCTAGTCATCGGAGAGGAAGGAGCCTCCGTTGAAAAGTGCCTCCGTAAGATTGGGCTGTAGGCAGCCCTGTAGGGCATTTTCTTAGTTGGTGACTGATAGGGGAGGCCCCAGCCCAGTATGTATGGTCTCATCCCTGAGCTGCTGGTCCTGGGCTCTATAAGAAAGCAAGGCTGAGCAAGCTGCAAGGAACAAACCAGTAAGCAGCACCCCTCCATGTCCTCTACATCAGCTCCTGCCTCCAGGTCCCTGCCCTGCTTGAGTTCCTATTCTGACTTCCTTTGATGATGAACAGTGATTTGGAAGTGTAAGCTGAATAAACCCTTTCCTTTACAACTTGATTTGGTCATGTGTTTCATCATAGCAATAGTATCCCTGACTAAGACAGCCAACCACTAATGTTTCTTTTAGCATATATATCTCAATGTCATTCGGGGAGTTTTTTCTACTAGAAAATAAAATAACTGTTTCCTTTTTGTTTTACTAGTTGTGGGCTAAATACTGTTTCAGTCTACTTGAATTATTATGTAATTTTTTGGGATTAGTATGTTTTATAACTCTTAGGGACACACTCACTTTCCTGGTTTGCTTTATAAGACATGGTTCTGAATCAGTCTGCCATTGTCTTTGAGTGTTTAATTAGTGTTGAGAAGGTGAAGGGTTGGTTATCAGCTGGCTCTGAACAGAAATGCAATAGCAGAAAGTGGATAGAGGCACAAAAGTGGCCTGGGATGTTGTAGATAAGAGGTTGCTCAGCTCATGCCCTTAACAAGGCAACAGTCTTCCTTATTCATTAAGAGTAATATTCATTACCTTCACCTGGAAAGGGTTTCATTTGACAGACCTTGCCTTTTACTTTTCCTCTTTCTTCCTTTTTTGTCCCTTTGTAAAACTAAATGTGTATGACTGTCTGGTTTTGCTGACCGACTGAAATTAACACATAGTAATCTAGCTGCTGTAATATTCAAAGTCTAGCATGATCTGATGACAGGTACGTCCTTTGTGGGGGAAGTATTACATAAGTAGTTGTGCCCTTAAGTTATGGACTATTTAGATTGGTTATCGCGCATCCTAGTTTCCTGAGCTAAGCTGTTGTCTTACTGGTCTGTCTTTATTGACACGTGATTATCACTCCTCTTTACTCTCAGAAGTCCTCTGGTTTTACTGATGGATTTTAAGGCTACTTTGTGTTTTGATGTTACTGATCGAACAGTAACTATAGATTTACTTTAGAGTTAACAGTGATTAATTATATAAAAACAGTTGTCAGGTTTCGTTGTCCTTTCCAGAAGCCTCTCTGAGATTTTCCTTTAACATTGTTTTTTATCTTTACTGTTCTAAATCTGCTGTCTTTTATAACCATTTCCTTATTGGATGCCGTCCTTAAGATTTTGAATCCAAATTGTGATAGTGAATAGATGGCTTTGTCACAGTAGTTGAAAAGTAGAATTCTGGGCCTTTTGTGACCTGGCAGAACTTAGATTTATGGACATTTGCTCCATAAAAGTGTGAAATGAAGGTAAAAGAGAAGGAAGAAGATTCAGGAAAGTGAACAGTGAGCAACTGTATAATTTTGATTAAAGGTGTTATCTTGTTAGGGGTCATGATGAGTTGGTGGTATTTATGCTAGCTAGCTTTATTGCTATAACGTCCACTACAGAAATTGGGGATTTAAAACCAAACTCAATGTCCAGTTCCAATTTTATGTAGCCTAGTATGTATATATATGTAGTCATTATATAGGAATTGTATTTAGACTATAAATCGAGAATTCTCATATATGTATTTTATGTTATTGATATGTTTAACCAAATTACCTATGATCTCCATTGCTTTGAGGAGTTTAAAGCGTGTCTAGTGAAATGGAATCCATTTAAATGGACTAGTAATTATGTAACTCTCCTTTTACAGGTCATGTAATGTTTGCAGAAATAAAGATGGAGAATGGCAAGTCAAAAGGCTGTGGGACAGTTAGGTTTGAATCCCCAGAGTCAGCTGAAAAGGCCTGCAGAATAATGAACGGCATCAAAATCAGTGGCAGGGAAATCGATGTTCGCTTGGATCGTAATGCATAATTTCAAGCATGGTTGGAACATTCCTTCGTCTGTTTATTGAATCTCCTAGTAAAAGTCATTTTTTTAGTAATGTTGTATGCTTACAAATGCTGTAAAAATGAACTTTTAAAACTCCCACCAGCTTTTAACAGTATAATGTTGAAAAATATACTGTGATTTTCGTTATCTCAAGTTTGCGTTTCTAAAGTTGGCAAGTCTGGTCATTGAGTTTCAGTGGATGGACACACCATTTTTAATGAAATAAGCAGCCATTTTGTTGTTTCCAGTAGTAGGGTTTGTTTGTTCTAATTTCCCCAATCTTATTGTAAGTTGACATCCCCCTCACCCCCCCCCAAAAAAAAAAATCTCTGCTTTGTATCTAATTGTTAATGAAAAGAAAGGGCTCAGACAAATTAGGATATGATTTTGGTTTGGTTTAAATTACTTTTCTCTGCTTTTAAAGAATAGTAATTAAGTATTACATTCTAAAGTTGAGGATGTTTCTTATTTGACCTAAATGAAGACCTGATTTTTCTTTTTCTTTTTTTTTCCTTTTTTGTCCCTCTACCATTTCCACCTTTCCCTCATAACACTATTAAAAGTATCAAATTCCACAGCCCCTTATTCTGTTACTTCCAATAATTCCAAGTTCATAGAGAACTGATAAGGTAGCAAGTCCTAAGTATAACACTAGGCAGACCACCCCCAACTTTCTGTCTAGTTTCCAGCCATTAAAATGAACTGCTAAGAACAAAAAAATAATTGAAGTGTTGAGAGAGATGGTTATGTAAGTGAGGCCCTTGCTATTCACTTGCACAGGAGCAGATGCATTGGTAAATGCAGTCTTAATAAACCAGGGAAGACCTAGGCATAGCATATCAAACACATTGGATCCCACGATGTTAGATATAGCCATGTCTCCTTTACCTGCAAAAGAACAGCATGTTGTTAAAATGTGCACACCGATATTATATTTTATTAATAATCTTCATAAGAAAAACACTGGATACTTTTTGTTGGTTAGTTTTAGAAAACTGTTATTGTTAGAGCAAGAGTCTTATTGAATTTGTATTTCCTTGAGTTAGTATTTAAAGTCTTAACATTTATTTAATAATTACCTTTATTTATTAAACCATTTTTAATAAGGTATGCAGCTTACTTGTTGCTTTTCATTTTCATTTGACAGTGAATTACCATCTAATGCACATTTCAGATAAACAGTCTTTGGGGGATTGGGTTGAGGGAATTAACCTTTATTAAAAACTAAATGCTTCCTGTGAGTCACTTCTTTTTTCTTCAATGTATGTTACTGAGGAAGTATTATTACCTTTAATTTCACTTGCTTTATGATAATCAAGCTTAAAGGACAGCCAGTGCATCTGGGAGACCTCTAGTCTTACCTTTTCTTGCAACTAACACGCTGGTGACTGTGTCTGGTATGCTTGTACCTGCTGCCAATAAAGTAAGGCCCATTACCGTGTCTGGGATTCCTAATAGTTCCCCTGTCATAGACACAGAGACTACAGGTTACAAATCACAAATCTTACATGAAATAGTTTTTGAAGACAGCTTGAATGCTTCCTACCTATTCATGAAAAATATTTAAGTAGATTGAGATTTTTGAATCTATGTATGTTTATGTGTTTTCTAGATGGCAAAGTATTTGAGACAGGTTGATCGTTTGGGTAACAGGGCAACACCCATTTTTAATGACAGTATTTGAAGATATCGAGCAACCAAAATGCTTGCAATGAGAACTCCTCATATTTGGCATCTTGGGGAAGCTGTGGGTGTCACTGTTGCTTGCTGTATGGTGACCTGATCCTTTACTTACTTTCTCTTTTCTTCAAGTTTATTCAAGTAGTTGAGAGTTAGGCATCCTAGAGATATTTTATCCATTGTTAGATTGAAATTAGGACTTTGAAAGGCTACTTTGTTTACTGTGGGTTGTTTTTGTTTCTTTGTTTTGTTTTAAGGAAGTACATAGATCTCTGAGGTAGACAGGGACCTCCTTTCCTGCCCGAGTCTAACATACAGCACCAATTTCAAAAGGGTGGGGACAGGTAACTGTTGTAATTGCAAACATGGTTAGAGTAAGTGTTGTGCTGTTGGTGTCTTAGTTACTCATCTGTGATCTTGTATTTGATTCTACTCTTCCTATTAATGTCAGCTATTCGGACTAGCAAAAAGTGGATACAGTGAATATGCAAGCTACCTGGACATACTTACCATCTTCATAAAAAAGAAAACTATTGTTTTTATTTGTTAGCATACAACTATAATAAAGTTAGTTATCTGGGAGAAGTTGGGGTCAGCCAGTTTGGAGAAGGGGCCAGGTATTGATTATTTCTATTTTGCAGTCCTTGTGGTTTCTGTTGCAATTCTTTAGTCCCACCAGTGTGAAAACAGCAATATAGACATGTAAGGGGATGATTGTACCCAACTGTGGTCAGTGAATTTCACTGATAAAAGCAGGTTGTATGACTTAGCATATCAGAAGGTGATTATTCATTTCTAATATGTTAATTCAGGTTGCTTTTTGAGAAAATCCTAATTTTCATTTCTATTTATAGTCAGTTTTTCATTGGGTGGCAGAGCATACTATGGCTAAGCAGTAAAACTTACTTGTGAAGATACTAGAAGCCTAAAATTAAACTCTTAATACTCACTTAGTCATCTGCATTGTGTTTTCATTGCCATATTGTAAAGCAAAAGAAAACACCATCTAGTTAAACAGCAAGCACCTACCTCTTATCCCAAACCCTAGTCAATTTTTTCTTTATTTTCCATTGTGGATTAGAATTCAGTATGAAGAGTTCTCATGAATCCTGTGTAATTATAAAGATAGCTTATGAATTAGACTCCCGGGCTGTGTAATAGTGGGAAATGCCCTTGGCATATAACTCACAAAACCTGAGCTTGTTGGGCTATGATATTAAGCTTTCATCTTTTGTAAACAACATTAGTTTTTAGTCTTGCTGAAAAGATGTATGCTCCCGAGACTACTTTAAGTGAATATTTGCAGTTTCTTCTTACATGAAATAATTTTCTTGTTGTTCTATTATACTTAAACTACATACCTGTTACTGTGACCATCCAAACCAGGATGTATGTGAATGCAGATATCCATAGTGCAGACATGAAAAAGGTTATCACAAAGTATTTTTTCCAAAACTTTCTTCTGCAATCTGGTGTTGTCAGAAAAAGTAATGTAATAATAGGAAGAGAGAGTACCCAAAAAATTCTTTTTAAGTCTGCTTCAGGCATGCTGAAAATACTTGGTGGATCTGTTGTGGAAGAATTAAACAATTTTGAGTTTTCTCAAATGACCAATTATATTAGAAAGGCCCATTCAGAATGCTGTGTTGAAATAAGTTTACTTTATACATTTTTGAAAGACTATCTACCACAGTGGTTCTCAACCTGTGGGTCACGATCCACTTTGGAGGATGAGCTACCCTTTCACAGGGTTCACCTGGGACTATTGGAAAACATAGTTATTTACATTAAGATTCATAACAGTAGCAAAGTTACAGCTATGAAGTAGCAAGGAAAATAATTTTATGGTTGTGGGGTCAACACAACATGAAGAGGGTCACAGCATCAGGAAGGTTGAGAACCACTGATCCTAGAACATTTGAATACTTCATTACTGTTATTGCTGGTCAAAAGAAACTTAACTGAAACTCTGTGATGGTCAGCTTCCCCTTCACCAAGGGCTTGACTCAAATGTCTTGAACTGTTTCCTGCATGTTGTAGTGACAGTGTTTACAGAGTAATGGGGTGAAACTCCTGCTTCACTGCAGTGTGGATCATTAGGGACTTGGTGCTTTTAGGGTTAACGTGGCTCCCACCTCCCCAAGCTATTTCACTCCCTCCCTTTTCCGGAATCGATGAGGCTTAGGGAATGTTCCGCCTAGTTCTCATTGTGTCTCATCATTTACTGAATAAGTGCTTCACAGTTGCTAGAAGGAATCGAGGGAGAGTTGGGCCTAGTGGCCTCCTGGTATAGCTCCGGACTGTGTGCTCAGGGGACAGGGATGACAAGTAGATTGGATAAAAGTGGGACCAGGCTGCGGACTAATTTATATGGCACTTATGCAAAGATTGGATCAAATCACAAATATTATAACTCATAGAAGTTTACCAAGACTCAAACAATTAATTTAAAGATTAATTTAGAAATAATTTTAACATGGCTATTTTTGACTGATACTTTTGAGCATTTTTTATTGTTATAAATCTCTTCTACCTTAAAGACATACAAAGTATGTTTTGTAACGAAAAAAGTCATGTCACTTTTTTTAAAGGATTAAAACTGGAAGCTTCCTTCCTAATCACTTAACTGAAATTGGAATCGCTTTTGTAAAGTTTTCTGGTCAGAAATGAGATTGGCATATTGAACATCCCAAGCTCATGGTTAGTTTCTGCTTCACACGGTTCAGTCTCACCTGCTTGTTTTCTTTCTATTCCTCCAAACTACCCCCTTTCCTCAACTTCCACTTGTTACAGAGATGTTCTCACTTCACCAGTGAAGACTCCAGCCCCAGCTTTAGCTCTGCTTCTGGTTCTGCATGGCCCTCCGCTGCCAGTGTTTGCTGATGCTTTCTCTCTGTGGTCCCACCTGGGCTTGCTTTAGCCCCACTGCCTTTCCTGCTTTGTCCATGTCCTGTTGTCTTGGTTCAGTCTCCTGTGAACACTGTGTGCAGTTCTATGACTTCCCCTCATAACCTGCCTTGCAAGACTCTTCTGCACTTCCTTCCTGTCCACCCGTTCCTCCGCTTCCTCACTGTGCATGTGTGACCGGCACTCTTGTCTGTCCGCCACATGAGCAAGCCTTTGCTAGTCCCCTGGCTTCAATCCATAGAGCGTGCTCACATCTCTGGATCATCTGTGCAATAAAGGTATCAGTTGTTGCTTCCTGACTGCAATAGCAGATTATTGAGTTAAAGCCTTTCCTAACCCACGGGACCCAGTTCAAATGCTCTTTTCTCATGTATATCTCCCATTTGAATGTCCTCTAAGTTTATTCAATCTGCCTAATGTATGAACCATAGTAGTAACAGTTTATTTATTTTTATGGAACTTACACTTTGAAATTTTAGCTGATTTTGGGTCTGAGGAGATGGCTCAGTGAGTAAAATGCTTGGTGTGTAGGCATATGAGTTCAGATCCTCAGAATCCATGTGAAAAAGCATGGCAGCCCATCTGTGTAATCCCAGTGCTATGAAGGCAGAGACAGACAGATCCCTAGAGCTCACTGGCCAGCTGGTCTAAACTAATCAGTGAGCTACAAGTTCAATGAAAGGCTGGTCTCAGTGAGGTGGTGAAGGATTGAGGAACAGCACCCGGTGCTGACCTCTGTCCTCCATGTCTGTGTATATCCCCCTGGCCCACACTTTTAGATCATTTTAAGAATGTTTATTGGAAGC